TCATTTAAGCTCTTTGTGCTTTACGCACAGAGTTTTGATGTTCAGCACACTCCATGAATTCATTCTCTAGACATTCTACATTAGTCTGTGTGGATGAAATTCTGAGGGGCTTTAAATGAGTTTTCCAATGGTATCTTACAGCCCCGTAATTCTTCTCAAATAAAAAGTTATGGCCGTCTGAATGGGGCATGCTCATTTAAACCCTTTGGGCTTTACGCATGGAGTTCTGACGTTCAGCCTACTCCATGAATTCATCCATCATACATTCTACATTAGTCCACATCGACGGGCTCCTAATAATATTTTCAACGGTGTCTTACAGGCCCCATAACTCTTCCCGGATTAAAAGTTATGGCCGTTTGAATGAGACATGCTCATTTAAGCCCTCTGGGCTTTACGCACGGAGTTCTAACATTTAGGCCGTTCCATAAATTCATCCGTCAGACATTCCGTATTTGTCCATTGTGTTACTTTAAGGATGAGAATCTGGAATTTATGAAACCAAGGAGTGAGAATTTGACATTTTGCTTAACTTGGGTGGAAACATGTCATTTGCTCCCATTAAATATCAATAACATAAATTTTTGAAATAGGCTTAACAAAATCCCATTTATTAACTCCAAGGGATTGGTCCAGTGGTCGAGAAGGTTTGCTCCCTTTATTGATTTTCCGGTTCAAACCATCTTAAGGTTACCTACCATATTTGTGGTTTATCTAGAATATTGAGTTTATAGAGTGTTCAATAGGTCCCAAGATTAGTTAAGATGTGTGTAAATTGATCAAGACAGCCCAGATATATAAAAAAAAAAAATTCCCATTTATTGAGGCCAATTTGGTGTAAATGTAGAGCAGGTGAAATGAATGGTCAAACAGGAGACGTTGGAGCTGATTTAGCACTGGTCAAATAAGGTTATCAGAGAGAGACAGAGAACATCAAATTTTTGGATTTGACTTGGTAAGAAATAACAAATTGGGAGGGGGAGGGGACCCATATCGAAATGGTGGTTTTGGGGTTCTCTTCTCTTAGACAACAGCAGGGAAACTATGCAATGAATTTGACGAGTCTCATTTTATGTAGGTCCATATATATATATATAATAGAATCAATGGATCTCTTTCTCAACTCTCTCAATCACTCTAAATTTATACTTTCCCCTTTTTCATCATTCATTAATTCAATTAAGTAAAATCTTTTATAATACATTATCTTAAATACAGGGTTAGAATTTAGAAATATTGCCCACTTGGAGGACCCATTTTCTGAGTTGATGATTAACTGACAGCTTAATACAACTCCATCAATTGCCATTATTTTTTTCTTTTTCATCCACTTGGCTATCTAATAATTTCATTGTTATGTTTAAGCTACAATGTTAAGGTGTTCAATGGAAATTTACGTAAACAGGATTAGAATTAGATTAAGCAAGAATTTTGAGAAAGTCATGACGTGATCAGGGGATAATAATAATTAGAAAGAGAAAATAATGGGATTAGGTGAAGAGTATGATGATGGATGAATGGTAACCACAGAAAAATGGGATTGGGGGCCAGCCATTTCCGTAGGCAGAGAGTATTCTGTGTACCATATCTTTTTGCTTCTGGTGTTTCTTTTCAAAAGAAGAATAATAAATGTGATGCGATGCGATGCATGCATGGAAATTAATTATATTGAAACTGCTGGCCATTTTTGTTTTAACTTTTACATCGAATTGAATGGATCCGTGATTATGTAGTCTGGAGCATACATGATATTAAAAATGTGGATTCAGAAAGTGGGTTGGAAAATATCATCTCTTTATTGTCAATTCAGCTGGCTCTGTTCCACACATTCACCTTCAAGTTATTTCCTGGAAATTAATCAGACCGACCCACCTCTTGTCCTTTCAAAATTTTATATCTCTTCGGAATTTCAACTATTACATAATATAAAAAATCTCTCTATTCTAGGTTGATTATTTTCACAACTTCATGCACTGCACGTGTATCTGCTTCAATCGGAGGCTTTCTCCATAATTTTTTTTTCCTCTAAATTACAGCTGTTTAATAAAACCCCAAAGTTTAGCTTAAAGTTAATTTATTTACCACAATAATATTGTATCTTATTTAGTGTCTTTTAGATTTATAGGGTATTTAATAGACCTTAAAAATTACTATAATTTATTTAATCATTTAGATTTATAAGATATTTAATAAACTTCAGAAATTAGTTGGATCCGAACACGTCAATTAAAAAAAATTTTGTTTAATAATGTTGGTTGAAACGTTATGTATCCAATTAATTAATTAATATCTCAACTTTTTACTTTACTTTCAAAGTTCATACCTAAAAACATTGCTTGTATTACAAGTGTTCATTCTTTCTTGTGACAGCAAGGCTAGCGGTTGGCAACCTGCTTGTTTATTATGCTAATTAATTAATACAGCAGTTAATTATGGAAGATCTACCTGAGGGCGGATCCAGCCACTTGGAGGGCAGGCCTCAGATTTTAAAAAAAAAAAAAAAAAAAAAAAAAATTTAATAATATATAAACTACAAAAAATTGTTATTAAAATATATATTAGATTCACCTTCAGATTTTTTTTTTAAAATATAACTATTATACGTATATTTAAGTATATATAAACTTATTATTAAATATATATTTTTTAAACTCACGTCATATTAAAATTTTAAAATTCTCTTTACTTTTTTTTTTCTATGGTTGTACTTGCTTTTTATAATTTTATTCTCAAGATTCTTTACTCTCTCATTTTCTTATTCTATTTCTCATGCTATTCGCTCATTAAACTTTTGAAGACTAAAGTTATTAAAGCTTTCACTACTTAAGGTGTCACAATTAACTCTGTTTTCTGTTTTATCAATTTTAGGTATGTATATTGCTCATTTTAAATACAATTAGCTTTGTTTTCTGTTTTATCAGTTTTAAGTATGTGTATTGCTCATCTTAATTTAGTTTATTTTATAGTTGAATGATGTTTTTTTCTTTTTTTTGAAGGTTTTTTATTCTAATTTGAGGAAAAAAGACGTGGGTCTTATAAATTTATTTTGTGTTTTTTGTCTAAGAATGTACTTGCTTTTTCAAATTAAAACTTTAACTATATTTTAAAGAGTGTTATTTTTCACTTTTCACTCATCACTTTCTTACATTTCAAACGTCACTGTTCAGCTGTTCAAAATTATTAAGGAAATTTGAGTTACTATCTATGGTTATACCAAGAAAATTCTCATTTTTTTTTTATTAATTCATATTAAAAGTCAACTTAACGTTAATTTGATTTAAGTTTTAATTGACTTTAGCTTAGGCTAAGTCTGATCAAAATCTTGATATTATAATCTTTGAAAACCAAAAATTAAAAAAAAAGTTTTGCTCAAGGTTTATTCAACACATTTACTTAAAATTTTGCTTCTCATAGATTTATTCAAATTAAAAAGTATTGTGTTATTGCATTATTTTCTATTCATGATATTGTATTATTTTATTTACCTAAAGTTGAGTGATTTTTTAAAAGTTTTCATTAATTATTTGGCAAATCCTAGATAGGATATACCTAATCAATAAAGATTTTAATTCCAAATTGAATAATTTTCAATTGTTATATCATTTCTACATAAAGCCAAATTCAGAATATTATATTCATAACAAATAGAGAAAATTTTTCCTGGTGGCTTCAGCTCCCGCATTGACCCATCTTCTGTTAATAGCCCATTTTCCATGGAAGATCCTTCCATCTCTTTTCCCAGATACATTGATTTTCTTTTTGGTATTTGAAGAAGAACCTGCATGAATGGTACTAGCAATTGCATTGCATGAGTCCAAGCATTAATTCTTTGATGTTAATCAAATTTAAAATTGATTAAAATTTAGTTAAGAAAGCCCAGAAAGGTGGAATTCAACATGGTTTAACATATATATTGTTAAATTGTCAGAAAAAATATATGTTTGTCGATACGCAGCCGAGGGAAGGGATTCATGTATGCAAAATATACAATAACTAATAAGAATTTGGTGATTAAAATAAAAGGAGTCGGTCAATATTCAATCCGCAAACAAGCTTAAAATAAATGGTTGTGAAATGAGAACACATGGGCTGTGGTCAAATGAATCTGTTGAAGTGCAGATTCATTGAGTGCTAATTGCCGTTTTGTTTTGTAAAACCTATCCATTATATACCTGGAAATCCCGGAAGTAGACAAATGTGAATGAACTATATATTATACTGTTCACATTCGATCAACTTGAGATTTGTTGGAATATTCATTGTATAGTATTAGGAATGTTCATTGTGCATACATCTATATATATATATTTTTCTAATCTCTGTTAGTTAAAGCCAAAATGGTAATTTTAGAATGATGATGCAGAAACTTCCGTATTTGGAGGGCTTGACAGATTCAAATATAAGAATTCTGAGAATGAGATAGTTCTGGAAACATGAACTTAACTGGAATGAAATTAAAGTTGGACCAAGTTATGAGTTATTAATAGAAAAGTAAAATGAAAAGCTTGGCAGGATGTGCCGTCACGGAGGTGAAGATGATGTAGCTGGGCCTTCACTACATCAAATAAAATAGTGAGATGACAATATCAATCAGTATTCGAATTCCATTTGGTGAAGACAGGTGGAGAGACACGTGCGATTGTGGGTTCATCATCTCATTAAGTACTCACCAACTACCGTATTCTACCATTCTCTACCGTCTACAAATGCTTCCAATTTATCAGAAAAAAAAAGCCATTTAAATTTTTTCCTCCTTTCTCTCCATCAAACGTCTAAGGCATTTTGTGCGGACAGCCCAATGGGTTTCCGTTTTAATCTCAACCAGGCATAGGAAGCTTCCTGGGCCTGTTTCATTAGCCCACTTCTGTGCTAACTTGTGAAACACTGAAACTTAAGAATAAAGGACTGTTTGGAATTTTAAGATGTTTAAACAGGGAGAAAGAATCGGCCTTGAATGGAAGTGGGAGTGTCCAATGGATACGTGTATGTAAATTGTTTGAAAACAATAAAATAGAGAAAATATACGTCAACATTACTATCATAAAGTGCTACAGAAGAGCAAGAAACCTGTTGATCAAATTGTTCTTCCATTTCCCCACAACTATTTACAGAATCCTCTTAAAAACAGACACAGACGTAGGGGATCTACACTTATGATAAACTAAACCATTTTTGCATTTCAATTACTCAATCATACAATCCTTCATGCTCCCATACATCCACCAGAAAATCAACCATTTCCTGCAGTTAAAAATCCAATTACAAATTGAAAGAAAAATAAATAAATAGATAAAAGTATGCAGTTTTTGTAATATGCAATAACAAATCTGATTACTGGCTCCTTGTGGCTAAGCGGTTTGATGTATCTATCTCCCTTTCTCAGGGGGGAGATATCGAGTTTCACCTGAGGGTAGAAGTCTATTGGGGAGGGGGTGGATCACCCTCCTTCTGTGTAACCCAGCCACAAGAAAAATAAAATAATAAAATGATTTAACGAAAAAACAACACATTGCACAGAAAACTTACATTGAGAGGGATGGGCCTAGGAAAAGGATTTCTGGATCCAAGTAAACTTTCATATGTAGCAGGCCAGCTGCATATACAAAAAGTAAAATATGCAAGAAAGTAAAATGAAAATTGAAGCACAAGGATATTGGGTACTCTGAAGTGAAGACATTCAATTATCAAAACGTACATTATCTTTTTTTCTGCCAACATGTTTATTTACTAAATTATACTCATTGCTAGATGTGATCATTTGAAAAGTGCTCCTATTTGCTACTGGTCACCAACAATATGTTTGTCAGAAAAGCAATATCAATGAGGACTCACTAATTCAGAACAGGAAATAAAAATTGTTTTCAAGAAAATCAGTAGGCAATGACATTTTATTGAATGGAAGTGGAAGCTTTCGAATTAACACCTACGACTGAACTGTAATAAGGGTAGTTAAAGACCTTGATTTAGGTTCCCAACTATGTTGAGTTTGATTCTTTGACTTGCTACTTCCAATCCACTCAAGTCTTACTTGATTCCAGAGAAGAAGACCTGCAATTAACAATGTTATCAACATCAAATGATTTGATCTAACAAATGGAAAAGGAAATGCCATGATCAAGACCACAGTTAATTACATTTTTGTGACCATAATTGACATCAAACTGCTGTAAACTAAGTGACCACTTAAACCTAGTCAACTGATGAACAACACCTCTTATGCACACAATATTCATAAAAGTTTTCTCCAGCAACAATTCAACATATTTACCAGAAACTGATCAGAAAACTAAAATTGAAATATTATTGAAACTTGCCATGATTAACAAATTCAGAATGGCTGCTCGTGCCATTATTTCCACCACAGTGATTGAGGGTCTGATTTGATATGCTGATAGATGAAATGCTTCTCTGGGATTGAACAGCACTGTTTTCCAAATCACATGTGCTCGAGCTCCAAAAATCATCTGATATGGTAGGTTTCTTCACAGTCCGCCCTTGAATTTTCAATCCCTTTGATGGCTCATCCACAGCAATTATTGGTGTGGACTTACTGCAGCACCCAAAGCAACCACTGCACTGTTGCAAGCCAGGTTAAACCATATATGCATATACAAAACACAGTCACAGCAAGTTCAAAAAGAATTGAGTGAGACCGGATTAAAGAGTTAACATTTCAAAGAAAAGAACATGCGATGGTTATCAACATCTTTGCTTTTCATATTTATTTCCTCTGAGAAATAAAGAAAGAATAGGCCCTTAAACTCTATAGTGCCACTACTTCATCAGAAATATCAAAAAAGAACTGATTAACATATAATCAAAATGAGAAAACTACTTCTAAAGAACACCGTAGCTGCAGTTTCAGAAAATATTCAGCAGAAGAAACAATATATTGTTTGAGGTACAAAAGAGAAAGTATATAAACAATTGACATTGTTAAATTTTCGTGGTTGATGAATTGGAGCTTCAATACAGAAGTAAAGGTGCACATGAATTACTCAAGACAAAATATCAACCAATGTCACAGAAAAGAGTATGATTGTTTAAACAACAAGCGGAAAAAGTCCAAAACTATTCATGGAAGCCTTAGTTTAAAGTTAACCAGTGAACTATTATTGTTCTATTTTGTTAGCACGAAAAGCTGAAAAAAATATAACTCCTCTACTCTTTTCCCTCTTTGAAAATCAAGTCTGATCTAGGATAAATCATGTCGTGAAGATGGCTTAACTTGTAAAATCGAGATGCTAAAAGTTTGGTTCTGCATATTCTTTCCCTATTAAGTGTTAAATTGGAAGAAAAACAAAGTATTAACTTCATTGTATAAGGTTGACCCTAGATGAAACTGCTACTTAGAAACATATTGTGTTATTAATTCACTTGTTCCGCTAGGGAGGCTGAGACAACCATTTTCTCGAAGTTTAAGATTAAACTGCTTGGGTGAGTGCAGGAAAATCCATCTCACCATGGTGGATTGATATTAGATAGAAAATGATGGGAAGATAGGAGGCACCTATATATGATCTTTCATAGAGATGCTTAGTTTCACAGAAATTCCTCTAAGAGTTCAGAGAATGGATTAGAGTTACTTTAAAAAGGGCTTATCAAGACTGCAACCTTAAACCTAGATTCTAAATTCTCTAATTAATTCAAAGAGTATAAAAATTATGCTATATGACTCAAAGGGTTAACTAACAGCAAATTTAACATCCAGCTTCTTGTTTAAGGACAAATCACAGACTTTGATCACCCCCTAGTTTTCTTCTAAAATTTGTTCTTCTCAACAAAACGAATATCTCCTGTAATTATTTTCTCTTCCAGAAACATGAGAAAGAAAATTTGCATAGTCCTATAACTAATATTCTACCAACGTGTCCGATTAATCAGAGAAAAAGCTTATGATATTTCTTCCATCACCAGGCAAAATTCTTAACAAGAAATCTCAAATAAAAAAACTGAATACAAATTTGGTATTTTTGATCGCCATAAGAAAAAAACAAAGCCACTGGTGCTGTGAAGTTAATTAAAGCTAAGCTCTTACTAGCTAAAGAAAAGAAAAGGTAAAACTTGCAGTTGCAATACTCAACTACGTCCCAGAAGTCAGAGCGACCATTTACTTACTACATTAAAAATAAATAAAAGAACTAGTGTGTTCGTACAGTTCTTTAAAATGAAAAGCAAAGCAGGCATAAAATAAAGATTTGAAATGAATTGCTTACCCCATGCAGGCGAGAAAGTGGGCGATCCAATCAGTAAAAGCAGTTTTTATCATCACCATTTATGGATTCCACACTACAAAGAAGAAGAAATTTTGATTGTTGCGATTCGTTTTATCTTAAAAAAGGGGGCTGTTTTTACTATTAATTGATTGCTATTGTGGGCTGTGGCTGGCTGCCGTTACCCACTCTTTTTACTTGCTTAGCTGACCAGTGAAATGGTTAGTGATTATAACTGGTGGTGATATAATTAAATACAGTAATTATGTCATCCATTAGTATTGCCCAACTAGACTTTACAAGAAGTTATTCATTTTAGCAACATCTAATTCAATGTTTAAACGATTTAAAATTAGTTTTATTTTAAACTTATGGTTATATGTATCTCAAATTTATATCTGAAATTTTGCATTTCTAATTATGTGCTTCCGGTAACTGAAACTTTATCCCATAGTTTTGCATTTCAATCAGTCATCTGTCAAGCCACCATTAATACCTCTAAAATCTATCCACCCTCCTCTGCTTCATCACCACTCCCCTTCGATAATCAAATCCCTGAATTTGACTCTTCTTTCTTGAACATTTTGAAATATTACAACATATGCCCATTTCTAATATAAGGGCATCTCTAACCTATTTTGGTGTGGAAAATTGCTCTAACTAACACAAAAAACTACACAAATTGATGTAATGAACAGTTATTACACTAAATTCGTTAACACTATTCATTAGTGTAGCATTATTTATCTACTATAAATATATTTATTTTGTTATTTATATTTATGTTAATTTGATTATTATTTATAATAATATATAATTAAAAAAAAGATGAAAAAACTAAAAACAACACTTATTCAATGCAAATATAACAACAATAAATCAAATAAAAAATAACACTAATTTAAAAATACTAAAATTAAAAGAAAATACAATATAAACTAATGACTACGTATGTATTATTATGCACAACATGATAATCGAGGATGATCATAATGTTGAGTATCAATTGAGAATCAAATGGAAACGTCAACTCCCCAAGTTGAAATTATCGTAGATGAAAATGTCTGATTTCAAATTTTTTTCTCAACATAGACAAATCAGGATACAAGAGGCTTACCATGCTTTCGAAATGCATTACTTGATCATTGTGTGGGAAAAATACAATTAAGAAAATTAATTACTATCAATATGAAATTTTACTTTTATGTTATGTTGTCTTTTTTTTTTTTTGGTGGCATTTATATAAATGTAATTTTTTTATATTAAATATAATGTTATTGATTAATAAATTGTTTATTTTATAAACTAGTATAATTTTCAAGTAATTATTATTTAATAAAAACACTTCCTAATATTTAATTAATATATACAAAAATAATTAGTAAAATAGATTAATTGTTGATTATTAATAGAAAAGAAAAAGAAGAGAATATTCTAAAAAATATTCTTTTGATGTCATATAATGCAATGGATTAAGAGCAATAGTGAAATACACAAAAATATCAAAGTGTTTGGTAGAGATGGTCTAAGTAAATGTACAAGATTTAAAGGGCAGGGGTTTCCATTTGGCATGCATGATCATTAATTAGTAACGCTGGAGGATTAGGTTCGATTATGTCCATACTACTCAACTATGCAAACAAGCCAGATTTTAACCCACTTGATTGGTAATAGGACAAGAAACCATTCCTTAATGTATCAATGGTATTCCCTGTTTCTTTTATGGAGCTTCCAAACTTGTTTCTTCAGAGGTAACATTTTGCTGTTACAAATTTTCCCACAGTATAACATGGTGATTATGATTATGGCAAGATAAAGCAAAATTTGAAAAGTGAGACTGAATTAACACACACAAATAAGGCTGAAAAGCAAAACAATATCAGAAGCCTAAAAAATCTCAATTTATTATAAACTTCATAATAATTCTACTTCATGATTTGAGCTATTTTCTGTTTAAAGAGAAGAGATGCAAGGTTGGCCCTCCATCCCTATATCAGTGATGGTTCATGTCTTTTGGGTATCAGAGCAGCCAGCCTGTCTGGAAGCTGGTGACTGGTGCAATTCCTGCTTAGCATTTGTTCCATGAACCGAACAGATACCAAGAAGAAATTACAGATATTACTAGCTTCTTTTTTTTTTTTTTTAATGAATAATGAATTACTGGCGCAGTCAATTAAAAGGCTATGTTATATATTCCAGAAAGAGTCTGCATCAATAATATGCCTACTACAGGCTAGCACAATTTCTTTTCTAGCTTCTTAACGAACTGCACTGTGCAACTAAGAACATGGTCACAAGCACACATTCATAAATGATAAATACACTACAGCAAGAATATTCCAGCATGGGACGTCAGAGTAATGGACATTAAGAGCAATTACTAATAGCCAAAGGAAAATTTATTGAAACCCTAAACAATCTTAAAAATGATATCTGAACTGCTTCAGAAATTTGGTGCAAATTGTAGCATTAAACTCATGTACAAACCAGGCATCAGCCTCATGATAGGTACACAGGTCTGTGAACTCAATAACCATTGAATCAGCTAAAGGTCATTCAACAAGAAAAAGCTTCACGCAATTCAGCTAAGCTGAAAGAAAAAAAAACACTTACACACATATTTGTGTGTTGACACATTCTACGTCAGCCTCAATTAATGGCCATGAGACAAATTGAGCAAGCGATAATTTGTATGGAAGGACCTAAGAAAACCAGGTGTCTCTCCACAGTATGGAAATATAGTGGTGAAGAACCAGAGCACTTCAAACTTTTTTGATTTCCATGAACGTGGAGGCCTTTCTTTTTTACAAGACATACTAAAAGGGGCAAGCACCACAAACTCACTTAATACTAGATTCTACTATGCCATAACTAATAAAATAATTTTATTGTAACCTTGTTTCATTCAAATCCTTGCTCAAACAATTCTTGCTCCTTTGATCAATATAATGAACCAAAGAATAATTCAAACTAACCAGTTATCATCCTTCAAGATGGAAAGAACTTTACTTAATTTAAAAAGTAAAATGAGAGACTACAGGTGCATAAATTACTAGTATAACAAACAATGACAAGAATAAAAAAGTTAAACAAAAATACATTGAAGGTAGCAAACAGAGAGAGAATGCTTAAGTTAAGATAACATACGTGGATGGGATTGGTCCTTCATTTGCAAATGTTGACATTCCCTGTCGTTGCTTGTGCTTAGGATTAGAAGAGCAAATTACATATAAACGTCCACGACGCTTAACTGTCTTACAAAACTCACACATCTTCTTTACTGATGATCGCACCTTCATGGTTACTGAAAATAAAAATGGAGCATTACACTATATATCCATATATTTAAAAGTGCATAATGCTTCAATGCAAGTAATAGTCAGCCATAAACTGCTATCCCTAATTATTGTGCCCACATGGATTTGAAAGTTCCAGATGAGGATCCATTCCGATTTAAAAACTTCCTTTGACAATTAGTCGTGCCCACATGTCCTAAAGCAATACTTGTATATAATCAAATCCAAAGCCATTTACCTCATCTCATACCCAAACTCGAGCTTAGTTTTGCAGTACATAAATTGGAGTTAAATCATGACAAGTATAAATTATTCTTTAAATTCATCACAAAATATGAAAACAATTTTGGAAAATAAATAAATAAATAATAATAATAAGACGCTAACATATATGTTGCTCTCTAGCCCTACAGCAGTTTGCTTTGATATCGCATCATATGAAGTAGTTAAAAACTCGAAAGAGGCACAAAATCACACAATAAACGCTGTTTAGAACTGCAAAAGTGAACATATCAGTATTATTCCTTAAATATTAAAAGAAATTGGATACCCTATCGTCTTAAAGGAAACTATTAAATATTTCATGTAAAATGTTGAATCGAATTGATAAAAAAAATTTGCATGCAATCATAATACAGTACCTGGTCTGGCTGGTGAGGAGTCGGTTATGGGATTCTGTTTTCTGCAAAATTTAGCTTATTGTTTGCCCGTAAAGTGGTGGTGTTTAGGGTTGGATTTTGAGATGGGCATGGGCCAACCATTAGCAATCTTTCGGCCCAAGTCTCCTGAGCTCAATCTATACAATTACTTGGAAGAGAAAGATTGATGTAAAAATATTAGTAATGGCAATGGGCCGGGCCAGGACCAGGTACCCCTTGCCCCAGGCCCAAGCCCGACCACATAACAAAGACCCAAGCTCAACCCGAGCCCGTCACAAGTAAAGCCCAAACCCGGCCCCACTGCCTTTTTGTAGCCTCAGGCCTGGCCCAAGCCCGCTCATTTTTGTAATGTAAATTTTTAAATTTTAATAAATTTCAATTTTTTTTATATTTTTAATTCTATAAACAATTTTTAAATATTAATTTATTTTTGAATACTCACCAAATATATAAATAACTTTCCACAAAGTGCATCCATTTATCCATGTAGGGTTTGGGAAAAATAAATAAATATATATAGGATAATCTTGTAATTAAATATATAGTATAAGGGTAATTTAGTATAATTAATACTAAAATTATCGGGCCGGACCGAGCCTGAAGACATACCCAAGCCCAGCCCGTACCAAAGGTCGGGCCTTAAAATCAGGTCCAGGTCCAGGTCCAAGCCCACGAACATCGGGTAAAACCCGACCTTTTCGGGCCTAATACCTAGAAATATCGGGCCCATTGCCATCTCTAAAAAATATGAGCTCTGATTTTTTAACCTCATTTTTTATTTTTTATCTTGACAAGTTTAACTTTAAACAAAATTACTATAAAGGATATTTATGATATAAGTACAATTATCCTTTATTTATATATGTTTTTAATTACGCAAATCTTAATTTTTAATTTTCGTAATGGTTAAAAAAATTTGTACAAATTTTTAGGAATCCTTCTACAAGTAGTTTTTTTTTTTTTAAACTAGGTAGCTTGCACACACTTTAACTAAGTTCTGGCGTTCGAACACCCTTCAAGCCCAAGCCTAATGGACCAAGTAAAGAGTATATTAAACATTCTTTAAGTCTAAGTTCAGTGAACTAGATAAGTCATAAAAACACAATATATTTAGGTAACTCTAAGTTCTTGTCATCCGGTTCCGTCATAACCAAGTGGTTTTCTACCAATAGTTTTTAATTTGATGGATTCATAATTTTAGTCAAAATCTACAAATAAACAATTCAACGTCCACAAACATAATTTCTTGTGATTCATTGAAAGCCTACAATTGTAGAGGACAGGAAAATGTCAAAAGCTAGTTTTTGCCTTCAAACTGCACCAAGTCTGGTGTAACTCCAGAGGATTTGTAGATAAGATAGACCTCTCAAATTTGAATATCAATGGCAGAGGCTCTCAAAAAGAGGCTAGATTATTAAACATAGAGGGCATTATAGTGATATCTAAAATATAATGATTCCTTAAAAACCCATTGGATTTTTGTTGTTGGATTAGAATTATTGATTTAAAATACCCTTTCAGATTTTAATTGACTGGGTACAATTTGAAATTCTAGATGTTTACATGTTGTATTAAATAAGTAATGTTAGAAATGTTCCAACATTTGAAGAAGGCACATCAATCGAATCGACCTCGTCACCACCACTTGCCTAAAATTATTAATTAACTCAACTCGGTTGATCCTTATCTTAAACCGCCCACATTTGCCATTTAATTGGCCAAGAGAATTCAACATTACCCAAGTTGAGAGTCATACCATGCCTTTACTCTACCCACCACAATTCCAAATTAAAGGATGTCACACTTAACCGGGTTATAATAATAATGATTAGTTATTTGTTTATGAAGTATCATCAAAAACTAATATCAGATGTCGTCATTTAATTGCTTCTTTAAAAATAAGATAGCTTTCTCGGCAATAATACAGGCATAATGACAACAAGAATGAGGTAAGATGGTGCATTATTGGGTGACTTAGAACTTTTTCCTGTAAAAATATAAGCAAAAGATTGGCTCTTTTTTTTTGACTAAATGGCCACTTATAAAAGAGCCCACCCTATGCTTCTTTGAAAATTAACTCCTTTATATTATATACTTTAGGATAAAATATATAATATAAAGTTTGGTGAGGTCAGGGAAGCATCTAACCATGAGATTTTTGGTTTGTGTTGCATGTGTCATGTAACTTTTTTGATTGATGTGGTGATTCTTGATTCAATTTAAAGCAATTTTTAATGGGTGAATGTGGTGTCGTGTTTCACGTCCACCGTGGCTTCTACAAATTGGGTTTTTTTTTTTTTTTAATTAATCGGCCCCCTAATCAAGGTGCTTAATCGAATTAACAATGGACGATTATGTCACCAATGATGGGATTATGCTCACACTCAATCCGTTNATGTGGGTTATTCATCATGTAGCACATTTTGAAACTTATATAATTATTCTATTTTGACACATTAGATTTGTGATTGCTATGTGTTTGAATTTTATTAGTGATATTGTAGAGAGATATTAATTACTGAATTGGTATTTCAAATTCCAAAGTAAAAGCAAACCTATTTGAGTGACATGTAGGACAATTTTTTTTTTTTTTTTTAAGCTCTAAAATTGTTTTATTTTGGAGCTCTAGAATTGCTCTCTCTTGCCACGTTGGATGTGTGGTTTAATGAGATATTTTTAGCTCTAAGATTCATGAATACTCATGTTGGTTGTTTGCCACGATACTCGTGTGGGTTGTTCGCCATGTGGTATATTTTGGAAGCTCTAGAATTGCTCAATTTTGGCACATTAGATTGACAAGCCAGTCAAATTGCTTTATCTTAACACGTTGGATTGATATTTATTGCTCCATCTATAATTATTAATTAATTAAAAAAATTGGAACAATTCTAATTATACAGGTATCTTGCATTGACATTCTAAAGGTCTAACCATAATGACACCTTATATTTGTGATTGTCATGTGGTTGAACTTTATTGGTGATGATGTAGACAATATTAATTGCTACATTGATATTCCAAAGTCTAAATAAATAGACATAAATATTGGATTACATAGGTGTATTGCATTGTTGTATTAATAATTAATAATAATACTAATTATATAGGTGCATTACATTGACATTCTAAAGGTCTAACCGTAAGGACACCTTGGATTTGTGATTGCCATGTGGTTGAATTTTATTAGTGATGATGTAGACAAAATTAATTGTTGCATTAGTATTCCAAGGTCTAAATAAATAGACATAAAGATTGGATTACATAGGTGCATTGCATTGGTAGTAAAAACATATATATTTATTAATAATTATATAGGTGCATTGTATTGACATTGCAAACCTTTCTTTGTATTTAATTGTCTTGGCATTCGAAAGGTCTACATAAGGGGTTATAAAAGGAGCGTATGTTTAGTTGTGTATTATCGCAATATGTTAGTTGGTGTCAACAATACCTCTGGTCTTTTGTTAATTGTTTATAGGTCATGTTAGTTTGTGTCAATAATACATCTATTCTTCATGATTTTATTAATCGATGATTTTTTATTTATTTATGTTTTTTTTGTTGTTTATTGGTCAAAGATTAATGAATTGGCATGGAATAAAGGTAGGATGTCTAATTGACCTTGTCAAATGGGTTGTTATTTTGATTCGTTCTTCTGAACTGTAAGCATATCTTCTAACTATTTTAATACGAAATTGTAAGTATATCTCCTAACTATTTTAACGGTTATTATTTGATTGAATGATTGTTTTTGCTTGGTCAGTCTATTTGAATGATTAATTGTGTTAGTCCTGCCGAATGGTAAGTGTATGCCTTAACAATTTTAATATGAAAATTAATTAACTTTTGTTGATTTCATTTTCAAGTAACAGTTGTTATATGAATGAATAATTGTTCCTTAACAAATCTTAACATGAAGATCGATTAAATTTTGTTATGTTTGTTTTCAAGGAAATGTTTACGTACTTTACTAAAATCAAATCGAGGATGATCATATTGTCAGTCGAACTGTAAGTATGTGTCATATCTATATTAGTAGAAACAATTTAATTGTGTTGAATATGTTTTCTATAAAAACATTCATGTATTTTAATTTGTTATATGAATGATTTATTGTTTATGTCCTGTTGATGTGCGAGTAGATATGTTAAATGAATTAATTTTGGTTGATTCCGTTTTCTAATTAATATGTGTTATTTGAAGTATTTCTTATCAGTCATAATATGATAATCCCTTAAATTTAGATTAAGTAAACCATTCATTTTATCATCACACACATTTCGGTTTCCACTAAACAATCAATAATAAATTAACCATAACTTGCTCAATAAAAATCCAATTGATGAGAGAATTGAAGCTTTAGAAATTAGACAGACAGTGCTTTAATTTGATATATTATACGCTTAATTTGGATAACTGAAGCCCCCACTGCCGAACCATTTCTTTCATCATCACATACATTTTGGCTTCCGCTGAACAGTTAGTAGTAAATTGACAATAACTTGCTCAATAAAACTCCAATTGATGAGAGGTTTCAATTTTTAGAAAGTACATAAATAGGGCTTTAATTTTATATATTATACGCTTAATTTGGATAACTGTAGCTCCACTGCCAAACCATTCATTTTATCATCATACACATTTTAGTTTCTCCTATTTCTTGATTTCTATTGAACAGTTAGTAATAAATTAGTCATAACTTACTCAATAGAAATCCAATCGATGAGTGGTTTGAATATTTGAAAACTATACAGATAATGCTTTAATTTTATATATTATACGATTAATTTGGATAACTATAGCCCCACTTACGAACCATTTCTTTTATCATCATACATATTTCAGTTTCTACTGAACAGTCAGTAGTAAATTGACCATAACTTGCTCAATAAAACTCCAATTGATGAGTGGTTTTAATATTTGAAACTATACATACAAGGCTTTAATTAAATATATTATACGCTTAATTTAGATAACTGTAGCCCTACTTCCGAACTATTTCTTTTAT